TTGAGTAATCCTATATTTGAGTAACCCTAGATCGAGCAGCGACGGCGACGGCGGCGGCCAACGACGATATCACTTCTGGTGGATGTCCTGCCCATCAATTGCCGCACTATCACTGATCTAGTGCTCGAATGCGGTATGCGATTATAACAGATCTGCAAATACACAAACGTGATAGTCGATTTAGCCAAAACATATCAACAAATCGATGGATGATAGCGATTCAGCGAGTGGCGACGACGTACCTACGACAGCTTGCTCGGAGTGCACGAAAATCGTCGTTTCACGGCAGTGCAGACGTCTTCCCCTTTCAATCGGCCGTACGGGGAAGTTGTTCTGGGAGGTTTTGCAGTTTATTCGATAGTGGGGTTTGGGATGATAGTGATTTAACGGGAAAATATGAAGAGATTTGATTTTATTTCAAAAGGTAAAGTAACGGATTTTGTGGGATTTGATTGAGGGTAATTATGTAGTTAGAAAAAGTTTGGACTATTATCAAAATGGCAAATATAAATTTGGGTCTACCCCTATTATTTGAATATTTAAGGGGGTTATATCTAATAGACCCTTAAATAAATCACAAGTAAAGCTTTAACGAAACATGTCCAAAAAAAATTATTAGTAAGTTGTACCCAAGTAATAATCATGTCCAATTTTTTTTATTAGTAAGTACTTTGTTAAATGCTGATTTGCATCCAATTTTATGGTTTAAATAGGCAGACGGGCTTACAAATTCTCACCCTTTTTAAGTTTAAGTTTAACAAGATTTTAAATAAAATTACACAATTTTAATTTAAACCAATATATTTATATTGAGATTTTGCTTAATTATTTTGTTAAATTTAAGAGGTAAGTGTTACGTATACTATGATTAAATGGTGTGCAGAGTGTCGATAACTCTAATAAATTACTGCCTGCCAGACTTACTTAGTTATTTTACAGTTTTCTAACAGTTGATTATGGCAAAACAGACGAACAATTGAAAAGAATAGTTATTTTTTAATAGTTGTTTTACAATTTATAATTGTTTTTATTCAAAAAATGGCAAAAAATAATAGTTGTTTTCTGGAAAAATAACTGAAAAATTAAGAAAAATGAAATAAAGAAATCGAAATTATAGTCGATTTCGAAAATATTATACTTGGTTTCAGAATCTTTATAGTTGATTCCGAACAAAACGTAAAAAAAATTAAAAAATAAAATAAAATATATTTTAAATAAAAAATTAAAAGAAATTTTTTTTGAAGCTATTATTGTTAATTTAAAAAAAAAATAAAAAAAAAATAAATTAATTTAAATTATATATAAAATAAATTAAAGTTTGGAGATGGAAGTTTATGGACAGATTTGCGAAGCGGTTTTTTTGGGATATAATCAATCACACACACGATTGTAGGGATCTAAAACTTCCGGATTTTGTGTGTGTGTCTTCCAAAAAGCTATTTTCGGGAATCATTAAAATTGTGGGTTTCCTACTAATATTGAAAATATGGCTAGATCCTCCCTCCCTTATTAAAAAAAAAATTAGACGGGGGTTATGGCTAATTGTTCCTAAAAAAACAGGGCAAATGGTAGAGAGAGACATAACAAGAGAGTTAAATGCACATTGGTCCAGACAACAAATAGTCTTTCAAATAAACTCATGCCCATGTCTTTTGTTTAAAATACCCTCCATAATATGATTTTTATCAATTCCATCCATTATACTCTAACTTCCTTAATATTACACATTAACTCTTGTCTTAAACAAGTATATCACATTAACCCCCCTTTTCTAATATTTTTAGAAAATAATTCTTTTTCTGAATTTTATTTTTCCGGCCACATTCCAGCGTTGACCAGACAGCTCTCCGGCGTTGACTTTTTTTTTGAATTTTTTGAATTTCTTTTTCTGAAACTTTTTTCTGGCCATGGACCGCCAGTCTCTGGCGTTGACTTTTTTTGTTTTTCGATAAAGTATTGTGTTAACAACAAAATTATTGTCTGAAATAGTAATATTGAATAACAAAACAGTAATATTAAAATTACTGTCTCAGACAAGTAATATTACGAATATTAGTTTCCCGGACGGTAGTATTACCGTCCCAAAGAGTAATATCATTGCATCAAACAGTAATATACAGTGAGAGACAGTAATATTACGGTCGAAGACAACAAAATTGCAGTCCAAGACGATAAAATTAATTAATACAGTAAAATTACTGTCTCCGATAGTTAAATTACTGTTGGAGACAGTAATTTAGCAGTCAAGAGTAATATTAATTAAAATAATTTTTTTTAAGAAACAAAACAATTTTTTTAAAAAAAGTCAATTAACAGTTAAATTACTGTTGGAGCTAACCAGTAATTTAGCATCCAAGACAGTAATATTAATTAAAATAATATTTTTAAGAAAAAAAATTAAAAAAAAAATCAATTAGTAGTTAAATTACTGTGGGAGATAATAATTTAGTAGGTAAGACAGTAATATTAATTAAAATAATTTTTTTTAAGAAAAGACAAAATTTCCAAAAAAAAATAATTAACAATTAAATTGCTATTGGAGATAGTAATTTAGTAGCCAAGATAGTAATATTAATTAAAATAATTTTTTTTAAGAAAAAACAAAATTTTAAAAAAAAAATATCAACACCGGAGATTGGCGTCTGGCTGGCGGTCACCGACGGTGGCGGGTCAAAATTGGTTAATTGGTAAAATTGGGCTAAATTAGGATGTAAATCATGAAATTGGAGTTAAATTGGATTTCAAGGAATTGAGGGTAATTTTGGTATATATAAAAGGGTTTTCCTTATATGCAAATAAGCTAGAATTATTTGAAAGACAAATGGATGTCCCTTTTTCAATTAAGTGCCCTGGTCATTAGCCTCTTTGCAATTAACCCAAAAAAAATCATGAAAAGAAAAAACACGGAAAAATTAATCCAATATATGCATGTTGCAACGAATGTCCTCATTTCTAACGGTTTTGTAGATGCTACACCCGGCGAAATACACTGAGTGATTTTGAACCATTGATAACACACCCATGTGTATGTGCGCTTAGTGTGTGATTATTTATATAGATCAATGCTCCAATCCATCCAGTGTATTACACCAAGTGTAGCATCTCATGAACTCTAACAGTATATATAGTGTCTCGTAATAAATAGGATTGTTCATGGGTTGGTTTTACCCGACAACCGGCTCATTATCAGCCCGACTACTGGCCGATAATTGGCCACCAATCGATTCGTTTTGGTCGAGCCGATAATTTTAACCGACCCATGCATTGTTGGGTTGGGTATAGTTTCTAATTTGTTAAAAAATATGTTGGTTGATATTACCCGACCAACCGACTTTTTTTTTTTTTTTTTTCTTTTTTTTTTCACTTTGTGTTTTTACTAACTTATCAATCTCAATATTTAATTTTTGACCATTCGGCAATATGAATAACAATACACAACTAAAAACTCTACTCTTCATTTTCCCCTTCTCTTCAACTACTCTCTCTCTCAACCATAGTCGCCGATGTATCTCTCGTCTCTCTCTATCAGCCCATCGTCGCCGACGCGCCATTGTTTCCTCCAACGATTACCTCCAGACGTCTCTACTTCTTTCTAAACTCTAACGTAAGGGTTTTTGTGTTTCTCACATTAAAATTAAAAATTTCAGAATTTTGTGTTGCGAAAATGAATGTGTGAATGGTTGAAAGTGATTCGTATTAGTATTTTATATTGTTTTTGGAATTTTAATTTGTAATATGTGATATTGTTGAAATTTGATTTTTGGCATGAAATATTGAAATGCTTGTTGCTGAATTTTGATAGAGGAATAACATTTTTTTTTTCAATTTTTAATTAATGTGGCTGATAAGTTTCAACCGACCCGTTTCGGCAACCGACAAAATCGGTTGCCAACCATTACCCGACTCACAATAGTCGGATCGATAATAGTTTTACATATTTGTAACAGTCGGTTGGCCGGGTGGGTCGATAATCAACCGACCCGACCCATGAACAACCTTAATTATAAATACGTGCAGTAATTGGATGTTTCAAACATAAATTTTTTTTATTTTCGACAAAAAAAAAATATACAAGATATGATGCAAAAATAAAAACAAAAATATACAGAAATATTAATCCAATACATGCAACACAAGTGCATAACTAGTGCCCCAGAGATTAAGTTCAAACAAGAACGAAAATGACGAAAAGAAATGCAAAAACACATACAGAAAATTCAGCATGTCTGTACACCAACATCATCACCAGAGTATAAACAAAATATTCATAGAGAAACAAAAAAGGAAAAAAAAAAAAAAAAAAAAAAAAAAAAACCGAGTATAAAATCGCTCTCCAGTCTCCACAATCAACAACAGTACAAAAAGAATGTAAAATAAATCTTCAAACTAGAAAAAGGTCTTGATCAAAATCCAACATTAATTAGACTAATTATATATATAAGGAAATTAACTAAGGAGTTAAGAGTGTGCATAAGCAGAAGACATTTGCCATATCTGAAGGGAAGCGGTGATGGCCGCATCGGTAGCATTGTTGAACAAGAAGATGTGTCCATCTTCGTATATTGCTTTCGTTGGATATATCCGTGATGTTATGCATGTTCTTCCCCCCTGTGCAAAGCTCTCCACTATCGAGTGATCCACCTATTGCATTTCCATTAGATAATAAAATTAATGTATTTACATCGAGATGATGCGAAAATGCAAATAAAGATAGTCAAAAACTGAAATACATAACAAAAAAAGAAAAAAAAAAAGAGCGAGAGAGAGAGAGAAACTATAGCAACTCTAAAAGTTCTCATGTAAATTACGAACGATACCAATTAGTTTTGGTTGTTTCCTATAAAATTAGTCCGAAACGGACCAATTCTTTATCTGAAAAACCCGATAAATTAACATGGATCCATTTGTTGAATGATCATCTCAACCAAAAGCTTAAGCTGTTAGTGAAATGTATCATTTAATATTAATATCTCCAATACATTGTCATCTCTAAATTTGCCTGAAGATCGAAAATGTAGTTTAATAAGGACATGGAACTTACAAGTATTCTCATTGATAGCTTTTCGCCTTTCAGTACCGGCACTGTGCTACCGTAGATTGCTTTGTCCACTTCACTTGCTTCAGATGACCTACAAATTCAATGGAAATTATATGATCAAACGACGCATTCGGTGTAATATATATATATATATATATATATATATATATATATATATATATATATATATATATATATATATATATATATATATA